CATTTATATTCTTCCAATTCATGAGCATAGTGTACCTTGCCATTTATTTGTGTCACCTTCTATTTCTTTCATCAGTGTCTTAGCGTTTTTAGAGTACAGGTCTTTCACCTCCTTATTTTATTCTTTCTGATGCGGTTATAAATGGGATCATTCTCTTAATTTCTTTTTCTGCTATTTCATTACTAGCGTATGGAAGCGCAACTTTTTTTTTATATATTTTGTGTCTTGCAGAAAGCTTTTAGCTTTGATGAGGTTCAATTTATAGATGTTTTTCCTTTTGTGGATTATGCTTTTGGTGTCAAATTTAAGAACTCTTTGCTTTGTCCTAGATCCTGAAGATTTTTTCCTGTTTTGTGTTCTCTCAAAGTTTTATAGTTTTACATTTTACAGGTAATTTTGTGAATCATTTTGAGTTACCTTTTGTATAAGATACGAGATTTAGGTCAGAGAGTTTTGCCTAATGGTCCAATTACTCTAGCAGTATTTGTTGAAAAGGCTCCCATGGCTTTCAAAATATCTCCTGGTCAGTGACTCCCAGGTTTTGTATCTTATGTTTTTATATGTCTTTTCTGCTCCCAGTATCTACCTGCCTTCTTGACATGTCTACTTGAATGTAGGCATCTCCAGCTCTATAGCATGAAAACTTGAAATCTTCTTTCCAGTCTCCTTTCCCGGTGTTCCCCATCTCAGTTACTGAACATAGGAGTTTTCCTTTATACCTTCTTTCCCACATCTGGTCCTCTAATTCTCCTTCTCAGAGAGTTCCCAGATCCAGTTACTTGTCTCCATTTCTGTTGTGGCTATCATCAGTTCTCACGTGGACCATTTCAGAGGATTTCTGACCGGACTCCTGCTTGTGTTCCTTCCCTCATGTAAGCTTTTAAAGTGATCTTTTATAAATGTGTGTTTGATTATGTTGCTCTCCTGCTTAAACTCTTCCTTGTCTTTCCATTGCTCTTACAGGTTGGTGCTCTTACCATATTCTACAAGCTGTCTGTGATCTTGCCCTTGGCTTCCTCTCTAATCTTCTTGTACCACACTTCTCCTGTCAAAGCTGGTGCCCCACTGAATGTCTTTCAGCTCCCAGTACCCAGCAAACTCTTTTTTTCCTCATAACCTTTCTTAAACAGACAATCCTCTGCCTGGGAGGTTACTCCCACCCACACTTTAAACTCCAACAAATCTCAACTTGTGCATTACTTGTACAGATGCTATTCCTGACTACCACATTTTTAAAAAGGGTCCCACCCCCCCGGGTTATTCCTTCTCATACAACTCTGGGTCCCCCTTCCCTACTTTGTATTATTTGTTTAACATCTATAATCTTAACTAGATGGTAAACATCATGAAGCACAGGGTCCTGTCGGTTTTCTTCAGTGTATACTTTGCCTGGCTCAGTGTGTAGTATATATATGTGCAGTAAATATTTGTGAGTCAGTGAACGAAAGGGAATTACAGTAAATTAGCAAGATATAGACAATTTAGGGTAATCTGCAATTCCCAGGCTTGTTTTATTTTTTTTTATAATTTTTTTTGGATTTAATTATTTGAGAGAGAGCCAGTGCACGAGTCAGGGGAGGAGCAGAGGGACAAGCAGACTCACTGCTCAGTCCCAGGACCCTGAGATCATGACCTGAGCCAAAGTCAGACGCTTAACTGACTAAGCCACCCAGGCACCCCCCACCAAGGCTTGGTATTTTTATGAGCTATTTTAATGAGCCATCAGTACTTGTCTATCTTTCTGGCTTAGTCCAGATCAGAGTATAGTAACTTGAGAATCATAAAGATTATTTCTTTTTTAGCTCATTAGTACATTTTGAGCAACTATTTGTAGGCAACTAAAAATGCTTTCTTTATTGGTTGATGTAATATGAATTATTATTTGTGCCCCATTCATCCATGAAGAGAATATTTCTACTTCTAGATGACCATGGATTGTTTCTGTCTGTTTTAAGGGAACATGTCCTTAATAGTCTGGTTTTAAGTGCCAGCATTTTCTCTTTATTTCTATCTAAAAGTTCTGTTCTTACAGTCTATAGTTTATTTCCTTACTTCAAGAAAGGGGAGGGTCTTGACTGTTTTACGTGGCCTATGTAAGCTTTCCCCCTTTTTATTTTCTAATGTGATTATTGTCAACAATTTGGCTATAATATAAAACTTTTAACATTTCCCATCTCTTTTTTTGGGATCACTTACTCATGTTGTATAAACACTTTAGTACTGATAAATGGTTTCTCTTGCCCCCTCATCTCTGCAATTTAAGTGATCATTCTAGCTTGTGGATGGGGAGGTTAGCTAGCAAACATTATTGCCAGAATTTCCTAGTATAACGAAAATTATGAATTGCCTGAAGAGGCTAAGCTTTAGGATAGTGTTTTGCTATACAACTTTGGCAACTGAAGTTGTTGTTATTTTTTTTTTTTTTTTTTTGCTTTGGTTGGGTGTTTTTTGGGGTTTTTTTTTTTTGGTTTTTGTTTTGTTTTTCTTAAAGATGTTATTTTTAAGTAGTCTCTACACCCAGCACTGGGCTCAAACTCATAGCCCCAGGATCAAGAGTCGCACACTTCACCAACTGAGCCAGCCAGGTACCTCACAACTGAAGTTTTTGTTTGTTTGTTTTTTAAGCAGGAGGGGAAGAATGAAGGAGGGGAAATCAGAGGGGGAGATGAACCATGAGAGACTATGGACTCTGAAAAACAAACTGAGGGTTCTAGAGGGGAGGGGGTGGGGGAATGGGTTAGCCTGGTGATGGGTATTAAAGAGGGCACTTTCTGCATGGAGCACTGGGTGTTTTATGCAAACAATGAATCATGGAACACTACATCAAAAACTAATGATGTAATGTATGGTGATTAACGTAACCTAATTAAAAAAAAAAGAATATTACTATGCCGGTGTATGTGGCATATTATCCTTAAATAATCTTTGGATTTTTTTTTCCTACTATCCTTGAATTGTCTCAATATTTAGCAGGAACTATTTGTTTGGAGGCAAAGAGCAATAAGGGTTTGGAACATACATTGGTAAAATGAATATAACTCCATATGGAAGTAGAATCAACCACTCCTTTTGGGTGTACATGTTGCTAATAGCGTGTGTTAAGGAAAAGTTTACCTACCTCACTTTTTATGTAGGTACTAGAACTGTTTCTTTTGTTTAGACATCCAACAAACATTTGTGTAGTTATGGCCTTTTAGAAATGTACTTTCTTTTGGCCCGTGAGTACAAAAATTTGCCTCCTTCACCTGAAAGACTCTCTACCCCCAGAATGAAGAGTGGAGTGCTAAAAAGAAAGGTGGCAGTTAGATAATTGGAAACTCGGGCTGGTCTACATAACTCCTTTTCTTAAGATCAGTACCTGAGCCCCTGCTGTATTTAGCGTTTCTGAAGTATAAGGATCAAGAATAGTTTTGACTCATTAACAGATTACTAGAGTTTGAGCCGTTTGTGGAGAAACCACAATCCAAATGAAAACATGGATCTTCTAATTCTGTTATATCAGCAAGTGCTTATTTAAAGTCACTATATACAAGATCTCTTTGAGTCCAGTGGGAGATTCAAATGATTGGAGATAGATTTCTGTGTTTTAGAGACCTAGGAAAATATACAAAGAAGCTTAAAATTTCCTGATTCTCCACCCAAATTTAGTGTTTTGAAGTGTTTTTCTTTCCCTCCTATAAACATTAACTGTGGAAGTTCCCAGAGTTTGGTGCAGTCTGGTGTGGGAGACACTGACTTAAATTCTCCAGGATGTGGGGGAATTATTGAATAATTTCCATTATTGAATAATTTCACTATAACTAATGATAATGGTCTACAGTAGAAGTTTTTAGATTCCTTACTTTTCTGTGATTTGGTTTAGTCAACACAAGGATGCATTTGGCTAGCCAGAATGCAAAACTTACAGGCTAGAATGGTCTTGGCAAGTTTTATTGGAGGAAAAGATGGCATTTGGAAGAGCAGGGAGCCAAAGGAATGTCAAGCAAGGGAAAAGGCATGGGCAAAGTCCCAGAGGACAAAAATGTTTGTAATGGACTCGGTGTTCACTTAGATCTAATCAGACTTGTGGTCTTAGCTTATGTATTTTCAAGATTTATCAATCTGTGTTCTATAATTATCATTCCCTTGATGTTATTTTTTTTTAAAGATTTTATTTATTTATTCGACAGATAGAGAGCACAAGCAGGCAGAGTGGCAGGCAGAGGGAGAGGGAGAAGCAGGCTCTCCACTGAGCAGGGAGCCCGATGCGGGACTCGATCCCAGGACTCTGGGATCATGACCTGAGCTGAAGGCAGCCGCTTAACCGACTGAGCCACCCAGGCACCCCTCCTTGATGTTATTTTAAGGCATGATATTTCATATATTTTGAAGTTTAAAATAACATTAAAGGAGAAATGAAATTATTTTGTTTGAGAAAGGGTTAAAAGGTTGAATAATCTTGATCTAAATAAGGATTTCCTAAGAGAGATCTGGGAAATTCCCAAAAGTTGTCTGGTTCAGAGAACAGTTCTCAGGATTGGAAAGAGAAATTGAGGAGTCCCGGAGAGAGGCTTTATGGTCATAACCATTTGATCCTCACAAAAGTATGGATAAAAGCAATTTAACCATAAAATACCATGTCCTGTTCATTATTATAAATAGGGTAAAGTTGGTGCCATTGGCTAACATGATGGCAGAGAAATTTTCAGATGAATATAACATTCCCATTCTGTAGAATATTTAGGGCTAAGATCCTAGTTTCTGATATCCTTAAGAGTCTTCAAGTATTCTGTTTCTAAGAACCATTATTTAAAAAAAAAAAATTAAGACTGTAATAAGGTGATGACATTAGAATTTTTTAACTACCCTTTTAGTCCTAGAACCCTAACCACTGTTCTCATTTTTGCATGTTATCTTCTAACCTTTACTTGTATGCAAACTTCTTAGTGGTGGTCCTTTAAAAATTAAGAAGGAACATTGAGATCTAGAGAATTAAATAGGATTCCTTTTCTCTTTTTAAGGTATGTGTTGGGCGGTGGAGCACTATGTATGGAACTTCTCACAAAACAGGTGACTATTTTCTTATAGTACTCATTTTTCAATCTCAATGGAGTGTTTTGATGATGTAAATTAGATTCGGAGTGGAAAAGCTCTGATGTAATACCACCTACTTAAAAAAATTGTTTTGAACAGCACCTCCTTTTTATAATGAAAGGGTACTTAGGGCAAACGAATAAAATGACATTGTACTTGATGCTTAATCTATGCAAGGAGAGGTGTTCTAAGAGCAATGTTTCTATAAGGTTATAATTTGCTTATGTTTGATACTTAAAACATAGGGGTTTTTTTGTTTTTTGCTTTACGAGATTTTAGAAGCAGTCCAACTTTACCTTTTTCCTTGTATACAGACTTCTTAACATTGTCTTGCTGTTGTCAAGCTGTTATGTGCCATTTTATTAAGTTTTCCAAAGTGGAAATCAAGAGTACCATTGTGTTTTACAGAAGTGTTTTCTTCCCGTAGGGCTGGAGCAGTGCCTACTCAATAGAATCAGTTATCATGCAAATCAATGCCACGTTAGTCAAAGGCAAAGCCAGAGTGCAGTTTGGAGCAAATAAGGTACTTTTATTAAGAAGATCACATAAATGATAATATGTATTTTCTGTTCCCTTATGAGGCTTCTTCTTATTCTTTTAGTCTTTGTTATTCTTCCTATAGGTAAGCATGTCTATAATTTTAAATCCACTACTGGTATGTACATACTAATAAGTTAAAAATTATATATACCTTGAAGTTTCCTGAAATTGAGATCATGTTGTTATAGTTAATTCCCAGTGAGCATTTATATGCGAGGCTCTGATCCAAACTTTTCACTTGTAGGTACTATTTCAATCCTTTTACTGACCTAAGAGTAGATATTCTTATTGTCCTCATTTTGTAGATGAAGTTAGATAACTTGTGTAAGGTGACAGTGGGCAGAACGTGGACTGGAACCAGACAGTCTGGTATTAGTCTCTGCTCTTACCCACGGAGTTCTGCTTTTTATTCATGATGTCAGAAACCTCTTTCTGTGTCTGATTGTAGTTATCTCGACCAAGGATAATATTCTAAAGTTAGTATATTTTACAAAAATATTTGTTGATGGAAATTATCTTAACCTAACATATTAAAAAATTTGGGTGTTCCTAAAGGCCTGTGTGAATTTTGTGTTAAATGCCTACCCAAAGAGTATGAAATTTAAATGTGTATTTATAACTGTATTGCACATTAAAGCATGAGTCCTCTAGAATCTTAACTCACAGAGGAAGCAAAAAATTGAAAAAGCTATTATGAAAATCATTTATTTGGGATACTGTAGAGTAACTGTTTTACTTGAGTTCTTTTAACAGCTATTTCTTTACACTGAAACAGAACATTTTTTATATAAAGTCTAGTGAATTACTTAACTGCATTAACTAGCATTTCTTAACTGTGTGTATATTTTAGGTGTATTAAACGTGTCAGTAGAGTGATTATGTAGTAAGACATCAAATTTTATTTTTTTGTAATGATAAAATTTATGCTCACTGTGTGGTTTCTAACAGAAAAAAATACAAAAAACTGAAGTCATCTGTAATTTGACTATCTAGAAATACTATTGACATTTGGTATAATTCTGGTCTTTTAATAAAATTTCTTCCTGACATTTATTTATATGTAGAACTTGATGTTAAATTTCATCATGTTTTTAAAAAAAATTAGCATGCTTTTCTTGTTAAAGAAAATATAAAAGGCTTAGAACAATGATTGTTTTGAGTAAGTGAACATTTTACTGATAATTCACTGTGTAAAGTTACCTGTTCTGGGTGTCTGTATCTATCTAAAATACAATTGGTCTGGATATTTTAAGTCTCTTCTAGCTTTAAAATTCTGTAATATCAATACTGTGTTCAGTGCCACAGTTCCCTTGGAATTACTCAATGTCAGTAGAATTGCTTTCAACTTTTACATGTCCATGATTTGTAGGTTTCTTAGCAAGTAAATAATAGAACCATTTTATATAGAATGTTAAATCAGGCAGCTGAGCACATTTGCATATTAAAGTACGTCTTAGGTGAATTTTTTGAATGCATTGTTATGATAAAACTTCACTCTTCAATTTTTTTTTCTTAACAAATATTAAGAATATGGAAACTTTACATGATGTAATAGGAATTTTACCTTAAAGGATTTTAAACTCTACGGGAAATAGTCTGAATGTGAACTTGAAAAATACTGTCAAATAACGTGCTAAATGGTGTTTAAAAATATGCTACCGTGTGTGTGTGTGAGAGAGAGACAAGGATCTATTATATAGATTTTTTTTAAGCATCTATAAAGATATTCAAGAAAGTACTAACAACTGTTTCTGATAAAGGGGTATTGAAATATTGACAGGGCGGGTTAGAGATGGGAGGGAGACTTTGAATCATTTGTGCTCTTTGAACTTCTTTTTGACATATAACTACTACTTCAAAAATATCTTAAATATTTTTAAAGATATCAGCTATTGGTTCAAAAGAAATGAATGAGTTTGTCTCTTGAAAATATTACTAAAATGATATACATAAGTCCTGGAAAACAAAAAAAATTGCCTCTCAGTACACGTGACATTTGGAGAAAGGGTCAAATTGATATTGCTGAGGATCTGCAGCTCTGTGCAAGCCAGAGTCATTGTACAGTCTTGCCATTAGCTTGCTCCCCTAAGCTCAGCCAGCAGGAGTTGAGAGCAAGCCATGAGGCAGAAGGATGTTGGCCAGGCTGGTTTTCTGGTCAGTTAAAATGGGCTATAGGTTATAACATTAACACTAGGCTGTAGTGGTGAGAAAGCCTTCTAAAGTAGAGTTCTGCTATCATGACTTAGCAAGAATTCAGGGTTTGGATAGGCAAGGTAGTGCCCTTACAAATGTTCATTCACCACGTGGAGTACATGATAGTTGAGGTAAATAGTGAAATCCTAGAACACACAACTCTTGGAGCAGCTCCCAAACTATTTCCGCAGTCAGGAAAGGCACCTATCCTTTCATGTTGTCCAATTATTTACCTACAGAATTCTCTGGTGAGTGATCCCATTCAGATGAGAGATCTGGTTTTTAGTTTTTTCTTTCAGGGAGAGGGGGAGGTACTACCTGTACTAAGTCTTTTATTTATAAATGAGCAAGTTTGGCAAGCCAAATGTGAGAACCTTGCATAATCCTGAGATTCTCCAAGGAGGCTAAAATGCTCTCAAGTTAGTTGTATCCACAGTTCTCATCAGAAGCAGACACAGATACTCTTCAGAGGAAAGCTTTTGTGATTTAGACCTACAGGATTCTTAAAGGTTAAGATCAAGCAATTATGAATTCACTGAAGGATCACAAGCACACAAGTAAGCCAGCATACATGAGAATTGGCAGAAACAATAAATGAGATATATATTCCCAAAGACTACGTTTTGGAATTATCAGACACACAGAATAAAGACTTCAGATATTAGGGTTATGAGAAAATGAATAGTTATTTGAAAAACATAATGTAAAGAAAAAGAAAAAAGGAATCCTGAAATTGATTAAGCAATGAGACCATCAGGAATAATCAGGCAAATCTGAAAAAGAATGAAATATATAGAAATGAAAAATGTAATTGAAATGAGAAACAATAGATGGGTTAGGTATCAGAAGGGAGAATTAATTGATTAGAAGAAGTAAATCAGGAGGAGGAGCAAGATGGCGGAGGAGTAGGAGACCTAAATTTCGTCTGGTCCCAGGAATTCAGCTAGATAGGTATCAAACTATTCTGAACACCTACAAACTCAACAGGAAATCAAAGAAAAGAATAGCAGCAACTCTCTGAACAGAAAAGCGACCACTTTCTGGAAGTGTATATTTTTCTGGGGTCGTTGTTACCCTTTTAGCATTTTGTTCTCTCTTCTATTCTCTGGACAAAATGACAAGATGGAAAAACTCGCCTCAAAAAAAAGAGCAAGAGGCTGTACGACTGCCAGGGACCTAATCAAATACGGACATTAGTAAGATATCAGAACTAGAGTTCAGAATGATGATTATAAAGATACTAGCTGGGCTAGAAGAAGTAAATCAGAATGTTGCACAGAAAGGAACATGGGAATAGACCTTATGGGAGAAGTTGAGAGGTGGTGATCAGATTGAGGTCTAAAATGTCTTATTGGAACTCCAGGAGGAGATAAAAAAAATTGTTTAAAAAACAAGAGAAATGGAAACCAGAAAGGTGGTAAAGGCAAGTCACAAGTATAAATGGACTGAAGTTACCAGTTAGATTGAATTAATAAAGCAAAATCTAGCAGTTTTTAAGAAGTATGTTTACATTGTGAGGCTAGAGGGGTGCCTGGGTGGCTCAGTCGGTTGGGTGTCTGCCCTCGGCTCAGGTCATGATCCCAGGGTCCTGGGGTTCGAGCCCCGTATCAGGCTCCCTGCTCAGCGAAGAGCCTGCCTCTCCCTCTCCCTCTGCCCCTCCCCCTGCTTGTGTTCTCTCTCTCTCACACACACATGCTTTCTCTCTCTCTCAAATAAATAAAATCTTTTAAAAAAAATTGTGAGGCTAGAAAAAGATTGAAAAGTTTTTTGTTTTTTTAAGGAGAGAGGATGATAAAGATAATGCCAGTATACACTTAAAAAAGATATAGCCATATTAGTATCAAAGTAGAATTTTCAAGCGGGAAGCATTAGTGACTACTTAATGATAAAAGTCTCAACCAGGAGGATATAATTATTTGCTTATTAAAATAGCATCAAAATACAGATTAAAAACCTGATAAGTAAAACTAATATAGTAATAATCGCGTGTTGACTATACTTAAAAACTGGTGAAACCACAGGAGAAATTGACCAAGTCACCATCGTAATGAGAGATTTTAACGTACCTTGTTGATGATAAGTTAAATGTGTGAAAAATGTAGACAATTTGAATAACAAATTAAGCTTGGTCAAATGGACAATTGTTGAATACTGTGCCCAGTAGTTAGGTACTACATCTTTCCGAGCATTTATGGAATATGGGGAAAAATCAGAAATTAATATTTAAAAACAACCCATAGAATTTGAATACAATGCAGTTAAGGTTAGAAGTTAGTAATGAAAAAATTAATAAAAATCCACATGAATTTGGTAATTAAACATAATTCTAAATCATGGTTAAAAAAAATCATGAAATTTTAAAAATAATTAGAAATGAACCATAATGGCAATACTAACATTTTCTTTCTGTCCCTCCTTCCTTCTCTCTCCTCTTTCTCCATCATCTCTCTCTCTCTTTCTCTCTGTCTGGAACATTCATGACACTAATCCTGGTCAATGAAGAAAACTTCAAATTTTGAAAGTAGAAAAAGGACAGATGTCATTCTCTGATCCTAATTAAATTAAAAACTATAATAATAAAATCAGAAAACAAATGTTCCTTTTGTGGAATTATGAAACTCAAACAGTCTGTAACCAGGCTTTGAAATGAAAACTGCAGAATAGCTAGAGAACAGCAATAATGAAATCACTGCATACTAGAAATTAAATGAGAGCTCAGAGGGAATACTCCTTGCTTTAAAATCCATTAAAAAAAAAAAGAATAAAAATGAACAGAGCCTCTAACTCCGTGTTAGAAAGGACAATCAAGTAAGCTGAAAGAAAGTAGAAGGAAAAGGGTTAATAAGGTCAGGGAGGTAGAAAACGGAAAGGGCTAACTCCCTCTTACAGGAAAGCCTCTGCAGTGACATTCTCTTTAAACTAGAATTGAAGATCATGCTGTTGACAACAGAGAATGGGGAAGGCTAATGTTCTTATTTTTCTCTTATCTTGTAGGTGGGCAGTAGGGTTAGGAAGTGACTGCTTCTTGATCATTTGCAAGTTTCAGTGTATGTGTATTTTGTCATACATAATCTCTTTCTCTTGTATTTTTGTCCTTTGAACATATAGACTGACTAAACACTACTTTTCATTAACTTGGAGATAACACTATGGCATGTTTTATGTTTGTTTTTCAGATGCATTATGGGAGGGTTTTACTATTTTTAAAGAGCTCTTAGAAATTGAAAAAGGCTATACTCTAGAAAAAGTTATAAAACATCCATTTGCAGAAATAGAAATAAATGGCTTGTGAACATTTGGAGACACACTCAGCCTCACTCAGTAATAGAAATGCAAATCAAACCCACACTATGTTCACCTTCCACCTCTGATATTGTCACAGATAACAAAGGTTTATAAGATCACTCTGGTGAAGCCGTGTAGAGGCATTCTCACACATGGCATGTCGGCAAGCCCATTTATACAGTCTTGTAGAGAGCTGTCTTAGCAACACCTCAAGATTACAAAGGCATATATGTCTTTTGGCCCAGCGGTTCCACTCAAGGACTTTTTAACCAGTGCTTTGGAAATATTTGTGCAGGGTTGCTCACTCTAAAATTGTAACAACAAAATATTGGAAACAACCTAAATGTCCACCAATTGGGGATTAATAAAGTATTTGACTCTCTGTGCAATGGAATATTTCATGATTTAAAAAAAAACAAAGATTAAGCTTTTTGCACACTGATGGGGAGCAAGGTCCAGGATACATTAAGTGAGAAAAGGGGTAGAACAGTGTCTGTAGCATGCTACCTACCATTTGTTGGGAGGAAAGGCAGGGGATGGTGGCTAATAACAATAAGCTATACATGACTTTTCTTATATAATCTTAAGAGGATACAAGAAACTAATAGTAGGTAACTTGAGTAGGAAAAGGAGGAACTGGATGATTGGAGGACAGGTAGGAAGGAGAATTTTCACTCAGAATGTTTTATACATTTTTAATTCTTGTGCTGTGTGAATTTATATTAAATTCTATGACATAATGGGTGTGTACCACTATGAAGAATACTCAAGATATATTGTAGGTCAAGATGTTGCTCAGTTGTACTGATAGAGACAAAATTAATCCTAAATTTGGTTCTTTAAAAGAGGATCTAAAGAGACTACCAAAAGAGGACTCCTTTAGTAATGCCTTGGTGCCACTTATGATATTTTTTAGATTTTTAACTCAAGATGGCATTGATATGCTTAATGTTACCTTATCTAAAGGTCATATTTTGTCATATTTTTGGTGGGGTGTTTTTTTGTTTTTTTGTGGGGGGTTTTTGTTTTTGGGGGGGTTTTCAATGGAAGTTATGAGAAAGAGAGTTTGAGTTTCATTCATGTCTGAATAGCATTCTTTACCTAGATTCATCAATGGAGAGGGGCACTAGAACTATAAAGCTTTATACTTGTCCAGTAGTAAGAGGATTTATAAAAATGAACTTTGAAGCTTAAAGAGATTTTTATTGTAGTACAACTTTGGTTTTGTTTAAAGTGGTAGAGAATAATGGAATTGAGAAATGAAGGTTTTAAGTGAAAATTATTTTTGAAATGGAAATATAATTCAGTTTCCTGTGTTCTTTTAAGCATAGTGGTGATGCATCCGTAAATTATTTGTAATGATTTTCATCTACTTACAATTTTTATTTAAAATGTATAATTCTCTTTCAGAATCAATATAATCTAGCAAGAGCCCAACAATCCTATAATTCCATTGTACAGATACATGAGAAAAATGGTACGTTTAATTCAATAAGTATTTATTACCATTTATAGAAGTTTTATATAAGGTACTTTTGATAACTTATCCTGTTTTTGTTTTTGCTTTAATTTTTTAAAAGTACTGTTACCACAGTGAAAAAGTTTAACTTGAGGATGCACACACTGTGCTTCATTCAAAAATCTTTGTATCCTAAATACTTGGCCTGAGAACCTGAGTCAGAGTCAAGATTTTTTAATACATTAATGAATGAATCATTTTACTCACTTGAAATGTATGGTATTAGGATAGGAGCTGAGTTAAAGGCCATTGTACAGGTGGAGTTCTTGTTGATACTGAGTAAGTGTAATCAGGATCCTGAACCAGCTGTTTCTGAAACATCTTCAGACTACTTAATGCTTTTTGACAGTTATACACATTTATCTATTCAAGTAAAAATAGTTCTAATTTCAGTATATTCAGTATATTCAGTATACAACTCAAATACTTAAGAGTATTTGAGTTGTAAGTTTTAAAAACTTAAACTATCTTTCATAAACTTTATTCTACTTTAAATTTTGCTTGTATTCACAATGCATGGTTTCAGTTGTCTCTAACAGTGAGGTGAATTTGGAATTAGAAGACTGATCTTTCAAGTGCCATTTGTGTTACTCACTAGCTCTGTGTCTCTGAGCAAGTCCCATTACCTCTCAGCCTCTGTTTCCTCATCTCTAAAAAGGCGAGTCTGTCTTGCCAAACTTGTGAGGAAAAAGAATAGTATATACACGTGGCACTTTATGGACGCCTGGGTGGCTCAGTTGGTTAAGCGACTGCCTTTGGCTCAGGTCATGATCCTGGAGTCCCTGGATTGAGTCCCGCATCGGGCTCCCTGCTCAGCAGGGAGTCTGCTTCTCCCTCTGACCCTCCCCCCATCTCATGTGCTTTCTCTCTCATTCTCTCTCTCTCTCAAATAGATAAATAAAAGAAAAATTAAATACACATGGCACTTTGTAACTAAGTGCTGATAACAAGATATTCATTATAGCCATGGTAGTGAAACTGATGCTTTTTTGTGCAGAGTAAATAAATAGGAAGTAGTTTTCTTTAAGGAGACTATTTACAGTAAAGTGTTCTTTACTAGAAATGTAGTAGCTCGTGACATAATATTTGTGCTTTATGCTCACTTTTATTTTAATCACAAAGCAAACTCCTCACTTTTTCAGTGACTATTTCTGAAAGAATAATATTTGAAACGGTTCAAGCCTCTGAAGAAGGAAATGACAAAAACCTGAGGGCAAGGCTGGGTTTTCATAATAATAATTCACAACACACTAAATTAGTAGAACCACAGGTACCTGTATACTACTTCATAACCATGTGGATGCTCCATATATCTTGGCATATTCATACTGTTCCAATAGCCATTTCATGCTAAGCAGTACTTTGTTTCATTAGCCTTTCTATAGAGAGCTTAGATTTTTGTTGTCTGGGAAACAATCACATTTTTTCTTTTTAATTTTTGTTGAAGCAAACATTGTAGTCAGCATTTGAAAATGTTTATGGAAATGTATTTTAGAAAGTGTGGGTGTGTATAAGTTTAGCTTTGGAGAAAGAGCAGTAGATTCAGAATAAGGAAATGGGTTCTAGGTTGGTTTTTGCTGCTAACTCTGATCCTAGGCATAGTCGCTGCACTTGCTGAGATGACTTCCTCACTGGTGAAATGGTATCATTATATTACTGATAGTCCAGGTTCTTCTTATTTTAAAATGCCAACATTTTGTTTGGGGGATAGTTATATTCAGTGAGGTTTACTTTTACGCAATTGAAATGGAAGGTAAAACCTAGCTTGTAGGCTGTTGTTCCATGCTATCATCTTTAGCTAGAAATTCGATTAGTATAGAGATCTTATGTTGAAGACTCAAGTGCAATTTATTCATAGAAAATAACTTTATGTTGCGCACATATCAAAATGCTGTATTACCAACCCAAGTGTAAGTTTAATTTTTACAACAGGTTTAAACAAGAAAATATGAGTAGAGAAAGTAGCTAACCTTAAGTGAAATGCCATTTCTCCTAGCTGACTTAAGGTATTCCAACTTTTTTTCCATTGTGTTTCAGGCTGGTACACCCCTCCAAAGGAAGATGGCTAAATATGTTGACTGCCGTATGTTTGGACCAATGTTGCTTTAAAGAAAATCTTTCCAACATGCAGACACAAGCTTTGAGTGCCCCTATAACATCAGTACCGAAGATGTTAGCTAATAGATATTTTAGTGGATAATCTGTCAATTGACATCCAGTATGAGTTACAGCCTTTTCATTTTGCTCATTTTACGTATCTTGGACTGAGCAGTGGGGCCTTTACTGTATTTTTTGTGATAAATACACATACTGGCCACTCATGATCTCCTTCTCTTGAAAAATCTGTCAAGCAGACAAGTCAGCATCAGGTTACAGAAGTTGCGACTCTGGTAACTTTCCCATATTGAGCTCATGTGTTATGAAGACTTGCAATATACTGTTCCATTTAGAACCAATAAAAGTTTAATTGATGTTTAATATTGGTTTAGAAAATTTAAGGTCTTCTAAATCACAGCAGCTTTTTCAAGTTAAAACCATTTTTTGATATTGCCAAAATAATGACAGGAAGCCTACTCATTAAATTGTTAAACTTTTTTTATGGCTAGGTGAAGATATGAATTGTTTCCCGAAGATATGCTCTTAATTGAGTTGTATTGTACTTTTTAGGCAAAGCAAAGCAAGCCTGTGTAAATTAAGTAGTAATTTCCACTGGGGCATCAGAGTCTTGCTGGGCTGAATCTGCTTCTTGTTGGTTCAGTATTTCATATGAAGAACTGCAGTATAGAGCTTGAAGTTATTTAAAATACTAAATCATTTTATTTTACGTTTCCATTTTATTAACGGGATGTTGCAATCATTTTTAAACTAATAAACTTGTTTTTTTTTTTAAACTAATAAACTTGTAAAGTGATTGGCACAAAGACCGAATCCGTGAGCAAAAGCTGCACAGCGAAGTACAAGAAGATACCTAATTTGGAGACTCTTAAAATTTTTGCTATAGTCGAACAGTGGCTTTTGCACTGAAAGACTAATAGGAACTCTACATATGTTCATTCTTTTATAAAACCTGACTCAATTCAGTGTAACTCCATTTTATTGCCTTACCTGAATCAGTCCTGTTTGGTTGGTGATAGGTTTTTTTTTATCTACCCAAGTTTGATTTAAAAGTAAATTCCAGTTATTAAGCACTTTTAAAATGAAATCCAGAAGCACATTTTCTGCACAAACAGGTTACAAAATTCAAAAGTGTTTCCTATGCATTTGCTCTAAGTTTCAATTTTTAACTTTGTAAACCACATCAGAGGAACTTGGCACTTCTGCATTATTGTGTGTGTTTAATTTCTTTTTGTTCTATTTTGGTTAAGAGGACAGTAGAAAAAGATTTTCTGGCATTCTTGTTTACTTGGTTACATTTGTATAAAGTTCTGATTGCCAGTTGCTGAGATAATAAGTGACCAGGCATTAAACTTTAAAGCATTAAGGTTCCTTAAACCTAAGGCTAAATCTTGAATACATTATTGAATTCTTTAATATCCTGATGGCTAGCAGATTGACAGCTGCACATTTGGCATGCTTTGTTTTTTGGGGGGTTTTATTTTTCATTGCAGATTTATTTGGCAATGTACAGTAAATTTTGTAAACTTGCATCAAGTTTATGAATAAAGAACCATTTAAAAAATAACTTTGTTACTTTTCCCTCATAAGAGATAATAGAGTTTACAAACACCTGAAGCCAAGAGTGAATTTTTTTGAAATAGGATTTATATCTGGGGGGACGAGGTGAGGAGAGGGTTGAGAGGAACAGAGGCAGATTGATTTAACAAGAGAAAGCTAGAGAACCCAGAAATGGTGTGCACAGACTTGGTATACTCGGGTTTTCCTCAACCTTTTCCTTCTCCCACTCTCATTCCTTAATATATAAATCCAAGTGCTACTTTCTCCATAGCTGTCCCTAGTTCCCCCAGTTACAATAGTCTGCTCCTTCTTTAGTATTCCCATGGCCTCCTTACACACAATTATCAAGTTATCTCACATACAAGAAGTCCTGAAGTCTGAAAACTCCCGGCCTGGTACACCTGGGCTCTGCTATGCTGCTTTGAGATTTTTCCATGTTGGCTTCATCTTTGGATTTAATGTTATGTCTGGATGTGTAGCCATGTTACTCTGTCCGGAGGTAGATAATGGTCTTGTTTTTTAGAAGCCTCCCCCGCCCACCCAAGCATATTGCTCTTCACTTTTCCTTGGCTAGAACTGGGGCTTGTGTCCACCCCTTACATGACTGATAAAAAGAATGAAATCATTATGATTAGTTTGGACCAGCGGTTCTCAGTGTATGTTTGGGGAACTCTGGAGACCCCTTGGACCCTTCCAGGAGGTTTTTAGAAGGTCAAAATTATTTTCCTAAAACATTTGCCATTTTCACTCTCATTTTCTTACAAGTGTACAGTGGACTTTTCCAGAGGCCACACAATGTGATGGTAAAACAGATGGAATTCAGAAGCATATCCAGCTGTCTTCTTTTAAGCCAGAAATTAGAAGTTTACAAAATGTAAAGTGATGCCACAACTGTTCACTATTGGATGAGGGGGCCATAGCTATTTTTTCACAAATTTTATTTTGTCAATCTTTGTTAATCTGGTTTTACTATTTTATGTGAATTAATATTAAAATGTTTTAATTTTTAATATGGCAAATATTAATAGACATAACCCACATAAACAAGCTCTTTGGGGTTGTCGATCCCAGCGTCCTGGGATCAAGCCCCACATCGGGCTCCTTGCTCAGCAGGGAGCCTGCTTCTCCCTCTCCCTCTGCCTGCTGCTTCCCCTGCTTGTGCTCTCTCTCTGTCAAATAAATAGTCTTTAAAAAAGAGAGAGATGGGGATCAAATGTGGGCTTTCTTAGTAAGGAAGCAGCAGGAGAAATGGATGTTAAGTAGGGATACAGCAGTGTCTGTTGTGCTTACATTCCTTCTATCTGTGGTTCTCAACCTGAACTTGCATCAGAATAACAGGAAAGCATAAATCACAGAAAAATTAAAACTCAGACTGTTGGGCCCTGCCCCCAGAATCGGATTCAGTAGGCCTGGAGTTAAGGACCAAGAATGTGCCCAAACCCAACAGATACATGAAAAGATGCTTAATATCATTAATCATCAGGGAAATGCAAAGTAAAACTAGAGTGACATACCACCTTGTTCCTGTCAGAATGGCTCTAAATAAAAACACAAGAAATGACAAGTGCGTTGGTGAGGATGTAGAGAAAAAGGAACAATTGTGCTCTGGTGGTGGGAGTGCAAACTGGTGCAACCACTGTGGAAAAGTTTGGAAGTGCCTCAAAAAGTAAAAATAGAATTGCCATATGATCTAATAATTCCACTACTGGGTATTTACACAAAGAAAATGAAAACACTAACTTGAAAAGCTATGCACCCCTGTTTACCACAGTCTTTATTCACAATAGCCAAGATAGGGAAGCAACCCAAGTGTCATTGATAGAGGAATGGATAAAGAAGTGGTATTTATATACAATTGAATATTATTCAGCCAGAAAAAAAGATCTTGCCATTTGCAACAATATGGGTGGACCTAGCGGACATAATGCTAAGTGAAATAGAAAGACAAAGACCATGTGATTTTACTGGTGTGGGAATTTAAGCAAAAGGAATAAATTTTAAAAAGACTCAAATACAGAGAACTAGTAGTTGCCAGGGGGAGGTGGGGGAGGGGATAGGTGAAATAGGTGATGAGGATTAAAGAATACACTTATCTTGGTGACCACTCAGTAATGTATAGAATTGTTGAATCATATCATAAACCTGAAACTAATACAACAATTACACTTCAATAAAAAACTAAGCCAAGAGCGCCTGGGTGGCTCAGTCATTTAAGTGGCTGCCTTCAGTTTTGGTCATGATCTCAGGGTCCTGGGATCCAGCTGGAGTCCAGGGCAGCTCCCTGCTCAGCGGGGAGTCGGCTTCTCCCTCTGCTCCTCCCCCTGCTTGTGCCCTGCCCGCGCTCTCTCAAACAAGTAAATTCTTTAGAAAAAAATTTTTAAAGCCGAAACTTCATGATTACCGGTGAATCTGAATCTGATGCTACTATGAAGAACTAGTGCAGTTTGGTGCAAAGTTTTCACAGCAGCGGTAGCCGCTATTTATGTCGTTTCACAAAGGGCATGAGGGCTACCTTGAGTTAACCACATTCACTAGGTGTCGAATATAGGTGGTCATCCTCACACACTTAGCCAGCTATTTTTTAACTCTTCCAAAAATCAGGCTCACGTTATTAACACACATTTGTACTGTAAAGACGGACAAATACTACTGGGTCTCCTCCTAGAATTCAAGAATCGGAGAAAGATCTGTACCGACAAGGAATACAGCGCTGCTGGGACGCCTGGATGGCTCAGTCGTTAAGCATCTGCCTTCGGCTCACGTCACGATCCCACGACTCTGGGATCGAGGCCCCCTATCGGACTCCCCGCTCTGCGGGAGGCCGGCTTCTCCCTCTCCCACACCCCCTGCTTGTGTTCCCTCTCTCGCTGTGTCTCTGTCTAATTAATTAATTAAGGAATACAGCGCTGCAAGTACAGCGAGAGGCACAGGAGGACCTATGCCCCCAGGAGGCCTAGAGAGGCCTAGAAATTACCGGAAGGATCAAGGGACGCAAACCCACCACCTCCCAGCGCCAGCCGGCCCTCCGCGAGACAGACGCAGGAAACCGCTGGGCCTGGAGTCACGTGGGTCGGTCTCAGCCGCCCAGTCGCCCCCAACCGGCCGGAAGTGGCGCGCGCGCGCTTGCTCAGTGCGCGCTGGCTGGGAGGTCTTGTGCCGGCCTCACCAGTGCCTTCCGAGTAGCCGTAGTGCTTGCTCGGCGGGTTGGTGATCAATGGAGGTGGTGGGTGGCTGTGGTGATCATGGTGGTGGTGATCGCCGAGGCTCCTCCGCGGACCCACAGAGCACCTTTGTGTTGGGTAACCTAGCGGAGGTGGTGGAGCGTGTCCTCACCTTCCTGCCCGCCAAGGCGTTGCTGCGGGTAGCAGGGTGAGGAGAGAGGAGGCGGGAAGCCTACTTCGGGACATGCCTCGGGCTTGCCCTGGCTGGCGGGGCGGGCAGACACCATCGGGACCCACGGCTGCCCCCGGCTCCCTTCTCCTCCCCCGAGGTGATGCCCCCATCCGCGAGGTACGCCTACCGTACCCCTGTGCCTGTCTCGGGGACTCTTCCCCGGAGGGACGAGGTGCGCCCTAAGGTTTTCTCCGCCCTCCGGTTCTCCCTCCGAATCTGCGCCCCGACACCTCCCGCTCTGGGACTTTTGATCCCGCAGGAATCTCCTGCTGGAGATGGAAATGAACGTCCCTTCACAACCCTTTGTGGTTTGCGCCCCCAGTGTGTGCCGCTTATGGAGGGAGTGCGTTCGTCGAGTGTTGCGGACGCATCGGAGTGTGACTTGGATCTCCGCGGGATTGGCGGATGCTGGCCACCTGGAGGAGCATTGCCTGGTCCGCGTGGTAGCAGAGGAGCTTGAGGCAAGTAAGAAGGCGTGTCGTGCACAGTTCTTTGTGGGGTTGTTGGGTCAGCCTTTGCGAACTCAGTCTTCTTCTTTTTAATCTTTATTTTGTGTGTGATCCTATTCTTTCTAAATTACGGAACATTTTCTCGTGACACGGAAAGATTTTATAAACACACGTAAGGATGTGCCATGATTTATTTGACCGTTCTCAAGATGTTGGGCATTTTGTGTATACAGATTTTTACTATTATAATAACGTTGTGGAGGACCTTCTCTTTACATGCTTCCTTTGAAGCAGATATTGTTGTCACTGTTTGGCAGGGAAGGCAGCTGGGTTTCTTTTTGCTTTAGCGTCACATTAAAAAGTCAAGAACCAATACTTAAACCCAAATATTTCAGCCGCTGGTCCTGTACTCTCTTGTATTGTATCTCTGGCCCCCCAATTTCAAAAGATGGGCAAAACCTGGGGAGGTAATGACTTGAACTGTGGAATCAAAGGGGCAGCCTTCTTGAGCACAGGTGACTGAGGCTGTGGTATCTCATTTGCCAGTGGGACAGAGCTCTTTGAGAGTAAATTACCAATCTGATGTTCTTTCGCTTCCTTATACTTTAGTGCGCATTACACACAAACAAGACTATTCTACATCATCACAATGCAATCATCAGTCAGGAAATTCTTATTGATACGTTTCTATCATCCATTCCTCAGAATCCTTTCAGACGTTCCCAGTTGTCCCAGTAGTGTTCCTCATAACAAAATAATTCAGATTAGAATCTTAGGTTGGTTTTGGTCATTTTTTAAATTTTTTTTAAAGATTTTATTTATTTATTAGAGAGAGCAAGCCAGGGGAGAGGAACAAGCAGACTCCGCGCTGAGTGCAGAGCTGGACACTGGGCTCCATCTCACCACCCTAAGATCATGACCTGAGGCGAAATCAAGAGTTCAGGCTTAACCGACTGAGCCACCCAGGCACCCCTGTCATTTCTTTAATTTTTGACGTGGAACAGTTTCTCAAGCTTTGCTTGGCTTTCACAACTCTGCAAAGTATGTAAATTACAGGCCAGTTATTTTGTAGAACATGTTTCTTAGATTCAGATTATGTATCTTTGGCAGGAATATCACAGAAGTGACGCTGTGCTCTTCTAGTTTCATCCTGTCAGGTAGTATGTGCTTTC